CAGGGCAGGGTTGTTACTGGCATCTGCTGCTAAACACTCTGCAATGCACAGGACAGTCCCCTACACACAGAGAACTATCTAGCCCCAAATGTCAGTAGTGCCACCTGTGAGTTAGAGCAGTGTCTGGTACATAGTAAAACTACATTTGTGTTTGCTACTATTATTTTTAGACCCTGGCTGGGTGGCTCAGTTGGTTGGAGCATTGTCTGTACACCAAAAGGTTGAGGGTTCAATTCCTGGTCAGGGCACATACCTAGGTTTCAGGTTCGATCCCTGGCTGGGGAGCATTCAGGAGGCAACCAATTGATGGGTCTCTCTCACATCAATGTTTCTCTCTCTCTCTCCCTCTTTCTTTCTTTCCTTTCTTCTCTCTCTAAAAATCAATAACACAAAAACATGACAACTTAGGGAAAATGTTTGCAACATATATGGCAAATGATACATATTCCCAATAGAGGGAAAAGGCCTATAAAAGCAGCAACAAGGATGTGAGTGCTCTAATAAAAGACACGAGCAGGCAATTCACAAGAGTAGAAATTCAAATTTCCAGTAAATATGAAAAGTGTTCAGACTTACTAGCGATAAAAAATGCAAATTAAAACACAAATTATTACTTTTTCCTTTCAAATTGACAAAGGTTAAAAGAATAAAATGGCGAGTGTTGAAGTTTGGTGATAAATGGACACTCTCATACACAGTATGCTGACAGAGGTTTTCTGGGAGACAGTTGTCTATGTGAATCAACTACTTCAAATATCTTCTTATTGTTTGTCTCAGTAATTCTACTCTATACTCAGACTCACACAAAGATGCGAAAAGGCCTATAAAAGCAGCAACAAGGATGTGAGTGCTCTAATAAAAGACGTGAGCAGGCAATTCACAAGAGAAGAAATTCAGATTTCCAGTAAATATGAAAAGTGTTCAGATTTACTAGTGATAAAAAAAGCAAATTAAAACACAAATTATTATTTTTTTTCCTTTCAAATTGACAAAGGTTAAAAGAATAAAATGGCGAGTGATGAAGTTTGGTGATAAATGGACACTCTCATACACAGTATGCTGACAGAGGTTTTCTGGGAGACAGTTGTCTATGTGAATCTACTTCAAATATCTTCTTATTGTTTGTCTCAGTAATTCTACTCTATACTCAGACTCACACAAAGATGCTTGTATGTGAATATTCACATGTGGTGCTATATAAAAATCTAAAAATGACATAATTTGAGTATGGTTAAATGAACTATGTTGTATCTATGAACCATTAAAAAATCAAATGAAGGTTTTAGAAATAACTTAATCTGCAGAGTTGTCATGTTTGATTGATGGAGAGGTGACGGTACAGATATATGAAAGAAAGGGGAGCACAGATGCAAGGAGGGACACCAAAGGAAGAGTGACAACAGCAGGGAGAACCCCTGCACACATCTCCAGCTCTGGGAGCCGCCTTGGCTTCCCACAGTTCCTCAGGGCAAATATGCACAGTAAGTTCCAACAGAGTCACACACTGGAAGGGTTAGAGCTTGGCACATCTCTGTCCTTCTTAACATATAAATCAAGAAATTGGCTGTTGAAGAAAATTTCTTACACACCACTAGATGCATGTCTACTCCACGTTTGTTTGTTTCTAACCTTCTGTTGTTTCAGTTCTATCTTCACAATAAAATTAAAAGGTAAATAAAATCAAGAGTTAGCACAACCTGCCCAGAGACATGGAACCATGAACAGACTGATGAATTTCAGAAGGAAGATGGGGGTAGGGGTGGAGGGGGAGAGATTAACTGAGGAATTTATATGCATATATGCAGAACCCCAGGACACAGACAATAGTGTGGCAAAAGCTCCGGAGGGGCAGGTGCAGGGAGGAGGGGGTCAATGGGGAAACACACACACACACATACACACACATACACAAACAAAGCAGACATCTGTAATACTTTCAACAATAAAGATAAATTTAGAAAAAAAGAAAGAAAGAAACACCCACTGAGAGGTCGTGGGTTTGATTCCTGGTCAGGGCACTTGCCTGGGTTTCAGGCTCAATCCCCAGTAGAAGGCATTCAGGAGGCAGCTGACTGATGTTTTTCTCACCTAGATCTTCCTCCCTCTCCCTTGATTTCTTTCAAATAAATAAAAATATATTTTTATTTAAAAAAGAAAAGAAAATACAGTAGGGGCAAAAGTAGGTTTCTAGTTGTGAGTACATAAAACACAGAGTTCATTCTTGTATTATTTATTAACTAGAGGCCCAGTGAACCAATTTGTGCACGGGCGGGTCCAGCTGGCCTCCCCTGATCAGGTTGATTGGGGCCGAGCCAGCCAGGGGGAGGGGCCGTGGGAGGTTGGCTGGCCCTGCCTCTGATCGCAGTGCTGTTGGCCAGCCCCAGTGCTGTTGGCCGGCTGCAGTGCACGTCATAGCAAACGGTGGTTCCGCTGGTTCTAGTTGTTCTGGTTGCTTGGCTTTTATATACACTGAGTGGCCAGATTATTATGACCACGCCATCAGAACAATGAAGTGAATTAGTTATGCAAATAATAATAATAAAACCTTGAGAGTATTTGCTTAGGAAGTTTTCAATATTCAGTATTTTTGGAAGTGTCAATGAAGTACTGATGGGGTGGTCATAATAATCTGGCCAGTCATAATAATCTGGCCACTGGCCCTAACCAGTTTGGCTCAGTGGATAGAGCGTCAGCCTGCGGACTCAAGGGTCACAGGTTTGATTACGGTCAAGGGCATGTACCTTGGTTGCGGGCACATCCCCAGTAGGGAGTGTGCAGGAGGCAACTGATTGATGTTTCTCTCTCCTCGATGTTTCTAACTCTCTATCCCTCTCCCTTCCTCTCTGTAAAAAAATCAATAAAATATATTTTAAAAAAATAATCTGGCCACTGTATATAGATTTTTGTATTATTTTTCATACAAACAACTGTAAACCTATTTTCCCCCACCCTCTATTGAATTGGCTTAACAACCTTTTGAAGAAAATTGATCAAGGAATTAAATAGACTTAATGGTGTTAAATAAATAAATACTTTCTGATCAATTTTATCTCCATTGGTAAAATTACGATTGGAATGTTTGTATTCATAAATAAAAAGTGTCCAAATGAGGAGTAGAAGGTCCATTGATCACTCAGTGACACCTGTAAGATGGGGAAGAATTAAGGGACAGGGTCTCTCACCCCTCCCTACCAGCATCTCGACTGGACCTTTTGCTGGACCTGTATTCCAATACGTCTCTGTTCAGTAGGCTGTATAGGCAATGACTCTCATCAATTCTTCTCTTCCTTTGAATGATTCTTGATGTTGTTCATAAAATAAATCTAATGTTGCCCAGCTGATGTGGCTCAGTGGATGAGCGTCACCCTATGAACCAGGAGATCATGGTTTGATCCCCGGTCAGGGCACATGCCCGGGTTGCGGGCTTGATCCCCAATGTGGGGCATGCAGGAGGCAGCCGATCAATTATTCTCTCTCATCTATCTCTCTCTCCCTTTCCCTTCCTCTCTGAAATCAAGAATAATAATTTTTAAAAGTCTAATGTTTGAAGCCCTTACTCCCATTTGACTATTTTTAGGCTCAGATCCTAAGGTCTCTTAACTTTGATTTCCATCTGTCTATCAAATCCCCAACCCTAATCAGAAGATGTTCAGTCATGCTCATAATATATTCACAGCATGACCTTTGTTCCGGGCCTTCAACTCCCCACTCACCCATTGTTCGATAAAGCCCAGGGCTGGGTGGATAAGAACAAGAAATAGGATAAATAGAAACGGATGGGTGGTGAGAATACAAAAGAGAGTGAGCAGGGAGGAAACTGATAGCCATTTAAAAAAACCCAACGCTAGAAAACAAGAAAAATGGGAAAAAATATTTGTTTACACATATTCTTTATTCATCATGAATTTTTCCTACCCTTTATATATTCTAAACAACGTACTTTGTTTTACTAAGATTACCATAATGAAAAATCTTTAAAAAAAATGGGAATGGAAAATGTGGATTCTGTAACAATAAATAGTTACAGGCATAATGATAGTGAGTCCCATTCTACTGCTTTTGTACTTTGTAGGTAAAGTAGAACTAAAGTTGTGCGGGTGTCTTTAGTTTATCCTTACCTTTTGTCAGTTTATTGTCCTCTAGACATACTGTTTTCTGAACCCCAGAATCCAGCACAGTGCCTGCCTCACACTTAAAAGAGGTCAACAATCATTTTTTAAAAAATCGTTTTTGTTTAGTATTTTGTGAACATCTTTCCATGTTAATATTCTTTTCAAAAGTGCTTAATATGACATTATATGAGTGACTGTAGCATAATGTCTTCAAATCCCTGATTCAGTTTGTCCTGCATTTTATTATGAGCACAAGTAATATTGGCATGAAATTCTTGTAGTTTAATCTTTGTGCACATCTTTAATTACTATCTTGGGATATATTCCAAATACGGAATTGCTGAGCCCAGGAGTTAATGTGTGCTTTTTAAAAAAAATATAAAATCAACAATCATTTAATAACTAAATGAATGAATGCTGTCCATATAACCTGGACATGACTGACCTTCATCATTTTATTTTTGGTGAGTATATTGTGAGTTTATATTTATCACACAGATTGGTAAACAAGAGACAATAGCTTCAAATTTAGGTGAGGACAAGACCCCTTTGCTTCTCAAGATCATTTCTTTATATTTTATTTTATTTTTTTCATTTTGTGTGCCTCAGGCATGAAACAGCTCTGGCTGCCGGCACAGGCATCAAGCTAGGATGAACTAAGGACTGTACATCTGCTTTGCCCCTGATTGATATAAGAGCAAAACCGCCAATCAGGTGTCTCCTTGCCCATTGCCAGGGGATTCCTTTCTTTATTTTTATCTTGTTTAGAAGATAGTTTGAAAGTGCTTATTTGAAAGTAGTTTTCTCAATGTCTAGTGACTCAAAATGAAGAAGTCTCAGTTCAAGGCCTCTTTTTTTTTTTTTTTTAATTCTTACCCAAAAGGAAGTATGAGGTCAATTGCATAAACTTAAAGTACCACAGAGATGAAACTTAAAGCAGGAAGAAACTTGCCATCAATGCACTGGATGGGAACACGTGTGTCATGTGAACAGACATGACAAAAACAGCCCTCCTTAAATTACTTTTAGCAATAGTGATCACATTCATTTTAATTTTGCCGGAATATTTCAAGACACCAAAAGGTGAGTATATAATTATGATTTATCTTTTCTTTTTCTTAATTTTAAAAGTGATGACAGCCAATGGTTACAGGAAATGTCTTCATTTCAGAGACCCGCTGCATGGGCGGAAGCTCTCTATTTGAAAAACTAATACAGGGAGATTGCAACTTCAGTTGACTGTTCCATAGCACAGTAACCTTAGTCATAGCACTTAGTCATTGTAGCATACAATAATGAAATAAAAAAATGAAAAGACAATTTAAAATTTGTGGCCAAGATTTCAAACATTCAGTTTACAGTAATCTCATCACATGATTTTGCTTTTTAAAACATTTCCCTTCAAAACCCGTTTTAAGTATGCTTTTACATTCTGAAATTATTATCGACAGAAAAGAACATTTATTATGTTAAAATGGCTTGACTTCCTTCCAACAGCTATTTCACACAATAACTTACTATTGCTTTTTGAAAAACGAATTAGGTATTTCAAAATATAATTAGAGTAAGATGGGTGCAAATTTAAGCAGGTATATGGGTGTGAATGTTTGTAACAAGAGAAAAATGGAGCAAAATGAACTCTGTGGATATTTCAAAGAATTGGAATGATTGCTAAAACTGAGGATAGAAAATAATTAGGTGTAAATTTAAACTATTTTTTTATGTCAGTAAAAGATTTGAAAATATGTTAATGTGACTATTTGGATGATAGCTGTGCTCCCTAGCATTTAATAATAAGAAAAAATAAAAAGAAAATATAATATCATTAAAAGTTATATAAATTTGATTAAAATTAGGAAAAATCTTATAATTTGACTTGCTGCAGTAATTATTGTTGCATATACATAATGCTGAATAGACAGATAAAAATATCTTTTGGTAAATAAATACCACGCTTGTGCAATTTTGTGAACAATTGAATTGTTCAAATTTCTCTTGTTTTTCTGGCATTATGTTGCTTAGATTAGGCAACCACAGCGTACATATATATTTATTTACCATTTTTTTGTATTAGTTTCAGGTGTACAGTATAGTGGTTAGACAATCATATACTTTACAAAGTGTTCCCCCCGATATTTCCAGTACCCACCTAGCACTATACTAGTACATAGTTATTAAATAGCACATATTTTTAATTCTTGATTTCACTGAATGCAAATATAAAAAGAATAGTTAAAATTGGACTAGAGAGGACTATTTAAATGTTTAAGCGATTGTGGGCTGAGAGTAAGCTCATTTAATAATTATGTAAGGTAGGATATATAGGCATATCTAGCACCTCCAAAAAATCAGGTTGGATCTAATGAAAACTAGGTAATCAGCCTAAAAAAGATTTAATAAACTACTTGCTAATTATTGGTTAATGTTTATGTGAACTGGTAACTACCGACATTGATATAATTTTTGTTCTCCTAGTTTCCTAACCAATTATATCAGCTCCCAATACTACCTTTACTGCCTTCACATACTCTAAAGAGCCATTTCTCTTTTCCTGCTTCAAAAACAGCATAGATATTTCCCCGGACTCTTTGGGGTGATGAAATTATTTGGGAATTTTGTTTCAAAGGAACCTTCCTTAGGGCCAATAAACAAAATGTTTGAAAAGCACCATCTTATCCTGATGTCATTTTCTGGTAGAAGGAATTTTGCACAGAGCCACCATAAACAAAAATTTTATTACTAGGCAAAATGTTTTACATATACAGTAGCATAAGAATCATGTATTAAAAATAGTGTAATAATAATGTTTTATATCTTTTTTTTATTAAAGGGTCTGCTTTTAAAATATATATATATGTTATTGATTTTTTTAGAGAGGAAGGGAGAGGGATAGAGAGTTAGAAACATCAAGGAGAGAGAAACATCGATCAGCTGCCTCCTGCACACCTCCTACTGGGGATGTGCCCGCAACCAAGGTACATGCCCTTGACTAGAATCGAACCTGGGACCTTTCAGTCTGCAGACTGACGCTCTATCCACTGAGCCAAACCAGTTAGGGCTAATGTTTTATATCTTTTTTTTTGATAAAAATATATTTCTTTATTGATTTCAGAGAGGAAGGGAGAAGGAGAGAGAGATAGAAACATCAATGATGAGAGAGAATCATTGATTGGCTGCCTCCTGCACACCCCCTACTGGGGAATGAGCCCGAAACCCAGGTATGTGCCCTTGGCCGGAATCGAACCTGGGACCCTTCAGTCCGCAGGCTGACGCTCTATCCACTGAGCCAAGCCGGCTAGGGCTAATGTTTTATATCTTATACTGGTTTATGGAAAACCAGGAATAGTTCCTATCACCTCATGTTATCCATAAGGGCACATAATTGTTTTTGCGTTTAAAAAACTTTATATTTTAGTAATTTTTAAATCACAATAATACTCAATGTTTTATGAAATGAGTTGACTTGCTGCCAGTATAGTTCATAAAACAAACTCTCTGGTAAAATTATCTAGATAATAAGCTTAGAGTGTTCCATTAGTGCTAAAATTAACCTTGAGCTCTTCCTGTATAGTCTCACCCTCCCTATTAGTTACTTGTGTCTTTTTTTCCCACTTTTTCTTATGTCCTATTCACTTTAATTTCTAAGACAAATATTATAAATGATTTTTACTTATAAATTATTCACTGATACCCTGTCTTCAACACGTCAAATGAATTAAAAAAGAATCTTAATGAGGAATAATGTATTCACGAGGCTTAATAGATTTTATTTGAAAATAACAAACCGTCCAAAGGCCTATGTTAAAAATAGAGAACTGTATTTGATCATTTTTCATCAAGAATGTATCTGAGTCTCTGAGTAATCATTACTCGGAATATTCAATTATCATAGTTATACAGTAGAAGCTATTTATTCTAACTTCACCAAAGGAGAGGAACTTTAACGGTGTCTGAGAGTTTTAATGAGTTTGCATTGGCAGGAGAGCTTATTCTAATACTTGCAGCTTACTTGAAAAGCAGTTTATGCTAAGATTTGGTAGCTAATATAATGTTTTGATAGGCTTATATTGCATGGAGATAATCTACACTAATAAAAGAGAAACATGGTAATTGGCGTACGACCGCTACCCTTTTCATTGGCTAATCAGTGAGTATATGCAAATTAACTGTCAGCCAAGATGGCAGCCAGCAGCCAGGCACTGAAGCGAGCAGGGAGGCTTGCTTGCTGCAGATTCCAACGTTCTCCGCCTAACTTGCCAGCCTCTCAGTTGCAACTCTAAGCAACTATATACTATGTTGCAAATAAGAAGCTAAACAAAACCCCAGAAAAGGGCTTCCATTCAGCCGGGCTCGGACCACAACATTGTATCTATGTTTTCAGCAGCAAGGCCCCAGAGCTAAAGCTGGCCCAAAAAAAAAAAAAAAAAAAGAGAAGAAAACAAGGAGCGGTTGGAAGCTTTAGTCACTCGCCAGCCGGAAAACAGCCCTCAGCCCCTCACCCAGACTGGCCAGGCACCCCAGTGGGGACCCCCACCCTGATCCAGGACACCCTTCAGGGCAAACCAGCCAGCCCCTACCCATGCACCAGGCCTCTATCCTATATAGTAAAAGGGTAATATGCCTCCCAGCACCGGGATCAGCGGAGCAGCAAGGCTCCCAGCACCGGGATCAGCGTGACAGGGGGCAGCGCCCAAACCCCCTGATCGCCCTGTGGCTCTGTGAGTGACAGGGGGCGGGGCCACAACCTCCCTATCCGCCCTACTCTGTTCGTGACAGGGGAAGGCACCCCAACCCCCTGATCAGCCCTCCTCTGTGCCTGATAGGGGGGAGCTCCCCAATCCCCTGATTGCCCTGCGGCTCTGTGTGTGACAGGGGGCAGCGCCCAAACCCCCTGATCGCCCTGTGGCTCTGTGAGTGACAGGGGGCGGGGCCACAACCTCCCTATCCGCCCTACTCTGTTCGTGACAGGGGAAGGCACCCCAACCCCCTGATCAGCCCTCCTCTGTGCCTGATAGGGGGGAGCTCCCCAATCCCCTGATTGCCCTGCGGCTCTGTGTGTGACAGGGGGCAGCGCCCAAACCCCCTGATCGCCCTGTGGCTCTGTGAGTGACAGGGGGCGGGGCCACAACCTCCCTATCCGCCCTACTCTGTTCGTGACAGGGGAAGGCACCCCAACCCCCTGATCAGCCCTCCTCTGTGCCTGATAGGGGGGAGCTCCCCAATCCCCTGATTGCCCTGCGGCTCTGTGTGTGACAGGGGGCGGGGCCACAACCTCCCTATCCGCCCTACTCTGTTCGTGACAGGGGAAGGCACCCCAACCCCCTGATCAGCCCTCCTCTGTGCCTGATAGGGGGGAGCTCCCCAATCCCCTGATTGCCCTGCGGCTCTGTGTGTGACAGGCTGCGGCGCCCCAACCACCCC